ATTTCCGCCATCCTGAGGAGCATAAGCCCTTGCAGAAGGTAAAGTCTACCAATGGTACGATTACAATCTGAAACTTACCTGGAACAAAGTGCACGGCCTATTTGCAGTTACCTGCTTTCAGAAATTCAGTTTCGTAGACTCTTGCTTGAATTACCACCAGCATGTTCCTTAGTCGAAACTGGACCAAGCTGAGTGACACTGTTTTCTCATTGACCGCGTTGAGCTTCATTAACTTGAGACGGGAAATAATTTCCAGACAGACCGAGCCTATTTCCGGAATGGGGTGGCGCCACGGGCCTCACTGGGCGTGAATCATCTGGGTCATCAGAACGGTTGGATTGATGGAATATTTCGTCCCCTCGATGCTTCACTGATTCCCTTTTTTTATCCCCCCCCTTTTTTATTCGCCCCTGTTCACGTAAACTGAAAGTTTTATTCGTTTAATATATAATATAATAAAAAACACACTTAATTCCACTCCAACGGCGCGGCTCCCGTAAGGGCAGCTAAATCCTTGGCTGAGGCATACACATGCCTGAAGAAGGTGTTAAACACCGAAATATAGCAGAAGATTTCAAAGGAGTTCTTTTTGAAACTTTTCGTGTTTTTTGGAATTTTGGAGTTTTTCGAATATTTGTGAACTTTTGGGACTCTTTTGAAATAAATTTTGGTGCCTCTTTGTGTTTATAACATTTAGAAACGAAAAGCTGTCTAATCTCGCGCTCCTAGGCTTGATCGCTTTATGATTCTTTGTCAGTGAAGCTGTCAGATGATGGTTGTTGGAGACGTTTGAAGGGAATGTGGGGGCAATTTATTATATTTATCTATGAATGTATGTATATATAATTAATTATATTTGCATTTAATGCTCCCAAAAGTTGGACTCGATCGAGTCTTCTAAAAAGCGCTGTATATTCGACTTATTTTATACTTGTGGAGGATTCGAATTCATACTTGACCCTGAGAAAGTTTGTTGTGCTATTCGGCATTCATTGCAGTGGTTGTGCCCTTCCTGTAAATCTAACAGCAAGTTGTTACCATCGTATATGTTTAAGACTTGTCCCACCAAGGTTGGATTCGAACTCACGTCTGCCTCAATCGCAATGCAGCGCCTATCCACTGCGCCACCTTCGTTTTAGCACCAGTATAAGAACTTACCGGAAACTGAGTCATTCCCCAAATTTTTGAGTAGTCTTACTTTCAGAAGATTTGTAGTGCGGGTTTTTCCTGCTCCTTCACGTCAGCTGTCCGCTTGTACTTGTGAGTTGTTGTCACAGGAACGTACGCAATAAGCGACAAGTGTTGTCCCTTGCATTGATTTATCAACTCATCAGTTACTAATCTCAAGTGTGGGCGCCTGCCTGGCCCATTTTCCTGGAGGACCGACGATGAAAAACCCTCGTTTTTCCATGCATTCAATAGGCCTTGTGGATGATATATTACCGTTACTATGCACATGATTAACGACCACTTTGCTTTTCGCCTAGGAGCCATATTTGGTGTTCCTACATATACGGAGGAAATCCGTCATGTTGTGTGAAAGATTTTGTCCGGACTAGTGCAGATATGCGACCTTTAGTGTCGATACCGTAGTCGCCATATTGTCGTTACTTCACTCTATGTTATTTCTGATTCTCTCATCTTTCAATTGCGTATCACTCACAATTCAAAGTGCGGGAAGGAAGAAGTATGTTCCGATTTCCGTTTTTCGACCATCGATTTCTTCCAGATGCCAAGCAAGAAGAGACACCCCTTTTGCTAAACATTGTAGATGGAGAAAGTTCTCGATTGTTACCCAAGATCCAAAAGTGGGCAGAAGACGGAGAACGGCCCCCTTGAGTTATATGCTCACAGCTCTGGTCATTATCATTAGACGATGTTTCGCCTCGGCTTCGCTTTTTACAGAAAAGGTGAACTAACACCAACGGAACAAGGCTTGAGACTCCACATGAAACGTGATTTCTCAAGCTGGTAATGAAGGGCAGCCGGATGAATGTGGGCACTATCGCAATATACGGGGGCATTTCGTGAACGCCCGTCCACGTTTCGTGAACGAGTCTAGACGTGTTCATATTTAAACGTGTCAAGCAGCGGTGTAGATCCAGACAGAGGACAGGAGTTTGCTTAATTAATACTGAGTTCCAAGTTTATAAGGCAGGGAATGAGAACAAAGATGGTTCTGAGGCATTGGCAAGAATTCGGGGGCGGGGGGGGGGGAGGCGGGGGGGGCCATTGTGGTGCAATGCATATTACCAACCGCAAAAAACATCTTTCTGTCAAAAATGTGAGTGAGCCTAGGTGGTGATGAGGAGGCTCCAGTTTGTGTGGGTGAATAAATCATTCCCTGATGTTCGCTATCCTCTCAGGGTCGTTATGCCTTGCTGAGCACTTTTTTTCTGTAATAGCTTTGAAGCGAATTAAATATTAGGTTGTCGGAAAAGTTCTTGCGCATTTTCTTCTTCATCTTGCAAAATCTTTTGGGATCGTTTTGAAACATTCACTGTTGAACGCATGTGAGCGGTGGTTAATGCTCTCTCCACAGCATTTCTGTCGTAGCATTTCGCAGCGTTTGAAGCTCAAAAATCGCCTTTCACTGAAGGTATGCTCGACTGCTCCTGCCTTTATAAGCCCACAAAATGCGTCGATTGAAGCGAAGCAGTGGGATTGCTAGGTGTTGTGATGAACCTCCGAACTATCTTTCACAATATGCCAATTATTTGGTTGCTGAGTTCCAGATACTTGAGAAAAAACCACAAATCTAGTCAGCCTGCCATCTTCATCGAAGAATGTGTTCTGAATTCGATTGGAGAGAGCTGTTAGTGCAATGCACGGATATTGGCGGAGCTCTTCCAGTGCTACCACACCACAATGGCCGTTACTTAATATCGCCTCTAGAGGAGTGAAACTATGGCGAAAGGATTTTTTGAGACCTGACTGACAACAGGCTACTGAGACCATTAAATTTTGCAAGGACATTTTGATTTGCCGCCCGTCTATCGCTTGATCCGCCAACTTTGCTGGTGGTTTCAAGAAGTGGGATCCTTAGGTAAACCGCACGCGAAAGCACGACTGGCTCGGATGCGTAGAACAAAGGATCGTCACACCGATAAGAGAACAGTAACCTGGGAGGCAACATTAGAACCTCTTCAGGCTGCAAATGTTTCGCTCACGGAGAGCTGCTGCCAACGAAGTCCACTGCTATTGGTGAACAATAGTGTTAGCAAGTGGATTAGTTTCCTGGCATGGTGCTCGGAAAATCGGAGAAACTCTACTTTATGTCGGCAACGCTCACCCACAAATTACGGAGATGGTTCAGGAATGGTCTCCAGGCTCGTTATAGAATGATCTGACCCACTTCGTGTGTACAGCAAACCTGGTTGAGACGGGCTGCCATACGCTTATGTTGCCGTCGAAGGTACTGAATTAAGGGCAGTTCGATGATCCGGACCTACTCGGAGTCAACCTCTTTGAGCTCTTCGTCCCAAAGACTCGGGATGTCTGAAGGGCCGGCAACCTGAAGTTGCCTGCTGAAGAGCAATGTTTCGACGATTATGGTGGTGTATGTATTCAACAATTGTTGGCTGCACTAAAGAAGAAAAACAATTTTGAAAAAAAGTTGCCAAATGCGCAAAGACTTTTCCGACAACCTAATATTATAAACGGAAAAGACAGCGGAGTACGCAGGAATGAAGCCGCTGGCATTGTGTCAGAATGTGCACGCTAAACTTTATTCAGGTATCAGCAACTATGTAACCACCAATTGATCACAAAGCCACGTTTAGACAAAATGCCCTCCGTATACTGTGATAGCGCCTGAATGTGGTCCAAGTGATTCATAGGCTTATAATTCGATCTTTACCCCTGCATTAGTGATTTGAATGTTTCCAAAGAGATCTAGGAGGAATCCGAGCACTGGTTTTGGGTTCACATTCCAGACACATCGCGTCTCGTATGGGGTCTCAGCCACGTCCGTAGGTGTCAGTTTCACCTTTCTGTCGAAGCGAAGCATCGTCTACGATGATGAACAACTGATCACTGTCGCCTCTCTCACTATGCGATTATCGCTTCCTCGATCACCCGTGCTCTCTTCACATTCCACGGGCTATTCATGTCCATTGGCCGCGCGTTTTTAAGTGTGTAACTATTGCCGATACTCATTCATTATCTTGTCACCTAGACAAATATCACCCGGTCCATTTATTCCCCGCTGGCGTGAAATATTGTCGCTACGACAATAAACTGTTGCCTAACTGTTCCTATTGTTCCCTTGGTGAGCCTTGCAATAGTTCCGGCCGATGAGTAGACTATATACTTTGGTTTCACAACATTGAAATCCTAAATTTATCCATAAGTAAGGGATAAGCGATCGTGCTTTTGCGATATTGTGCTTACTCGGTTTTCATTCAGAACCGGATAGTTTTGCGCGACCATTTGGTCCTGAATCTAGGCCGAAATAGTGAAATATACTATAGGACATCATTATAAGCAATGCCTCGTATCTCTCTGACATAAAACAATCTGAAAAAGGAGTGGTATTGAAAGACATCTCGCAACCTAGGCTGGCGCTGGATGTTGAAGTCGGTCAATTCGAAATTGTGGATATCAGAAAAAATGGCAGATGAAAAGTTGTAGGTATGAAAATATGGTAGTTCGAAAATAAATATGTATACCACCTTAACCGCTTGCGCCGCAGAGTTTCTTCCTAGAGAGCTATTTTAATAATTTTCTAGAAATTTTGTGCAGAAGCAGGCTTACCTTAAACAAATACATAGAGGGCAGTAAACACTGAATGCAAAAATGCCGAGGGAATACACAGTGGTAGAGGCGTTTGCTGGCATAAAATGCTCAAGATGATCTCATCTGACTACTCACATTATTAGGTTAAAGGATAAAGCATTTATTTTTTTATTTATTCAATGCACGCGTAGGTGCGCTGACACATCCTCAATAATACTTGATCGTAGTAACACATGTAATTAAGTGAAGGAACATTCGAACCTTTGATCAATCCCTTTTGGGATGCGGCACGCATTCTACTTCCATTTGTACATTCGTAGTGGCGTTGAATGCGATGTGGCCTATACAATGACTTGCGGGGGCCAGCCGATGTACAAGTCAGTGTTTTTATCCTCCCAGACAAGTCTGGTACCAATTAACCGACCCCGGAGGGATGGAAGGCTTGGTTGGCCCGGGCGACTCACGACCCAGGATTTGATCCCCGGACCGCTCGCGTGGTAAGCGTGCCACTTGCCACACACACTTCTCCTTGTCTTTGACTAGTAGGTAGTGGCCCTTAATAATACAGTTCAAGTTGCCTCGCGACCGAGCTCAACATATAAAAATTCAGGGACAGTCGTTAAATATGCTTGTGGAGGCCTCCGCATTTACGAATGAAAACCGAATTCGTGGCGCGAACTCAGAAATATTCAGCGCAGAGCATTCTTTGCAAATAAAAAGTGCGTTGCAAACAAGTCGCAAAAATTGCAGCAATTCATTCAGGTGCGCCATCACAGCAAAAATCAATTAGATCCAAGAACTGGAGCAAACCAGCCCTTTTGGCGTTTCTGCTGGCGCCGTATGCTGAATGTGATGGGGAGGGATTGGGTCACCGAGGTTGACGGACTACTTGAACTCGGTCGGTACGGTAGGAGAGTGATGACGAAGTGGTGCAGCTAGGTAGCAGCTCCGCCAAAAGAGCTAGTTTGCTTACTCAGAGCTAAGGCCTTGGTAAAGTACGGACTGCGCTCTCCTCGGATAGCACCGAGCTGAAGTAGTCCATGACGCGGCACCGCCTCCCCTCCCCACATTCAGTATACTGGCTGCAGCAGAAACGCCAAAGGGTTTGGTTGCTTACTTCTAAGAACTTGATAACCCAGGTTCGTGATTACAATGGCTAGGGCGCGCCTCAGCAAGCATGTTTTGCGCTTCAACACTCCCTGCTCTCATTCTTTACGCGTTGTTTTCTTTTAGGCGTCCCGAAAACCCACTATATTTTCTTGCCACCTCGATTCCCGTTCATTTCTTCATATACCTCACTCGTTATCGTGGTCGTATTTCTTAAGCTGTCGTCATTCATTTTCGCCCGTCGTCGTTCGCTTATCGACTAGAGGTTCTCGTTGCGATCGCTGAAGAAA